GTGGACTGAGAGTTCTCAGTTCGATTCCCGGTCAGGCACAGGCCCGGTCGTGGGCTCGATCCCTAGTGGGGGCGTGCAGGAGGCGGCTGATGGATGTTTCTCTCGCACATCGATGTTTCTCTCTCTCTCTCTGAAAAATCAATAAAAACATATTTTTTGAAAATGCACACCTAAATATAATCCTGAGGAGACACCAGACAGACCCCAACAGGACACTTTCTGCAAAATAAGTGACCCGTACTTTTCAAAATCTCAAGATCAGATAAGATTAGAAATGAAAACTCGTCGCAACGTGTGACTCTGGGTTGGCTTGTGTGGTTAGGGAAAGGCAAGTCATTGTAAAGAACTTTTACTGGCGCAACTGAGGAAGTTTTGACTATAGACAATGGATTAGATAATAATATTGTATCAGTAGTATATTCCCTGATTTTCATAATTACACGGTGGTCATGAAAGAGAATGAACACTGATGCACTTAGTGTAACAGAACTTACTCTCACATTGTTCAAAATAATTGTGTGTGGCCCTGGCCGGTTTGGCTCAGCGGTTGAAGCATCAGCCTGCGGACCATAGAGTCCCGGGTTCAGTTCCCGCTAGGGGAACGTACCGAAAAAATAATAATAATAATTGTGCGTGTGTGCATGCGTGTGTGTGTGTGCAAGCATGTGTGTGCGGGTGCGTGTGCGGGTGGGTGTGTGGGTATGCATGCATGTGCGTGTGTGTGCATGTGTGTGGGTGGGTGTGCAGGTGTGCATGCATGTGTGTGCGGGTGGGTGTGGGTGTGCATGCATGTGCATGTGTGTGTGTGTGCGCGTGCGCACATGCGCCTACCACATCCATCATCATCAAATCTGTAGGTGACGCCTGACTCCAGGAGGCCCATGAAAGCTGTGCTGCCTCCTGAGAGGTGAGGCGATCCTCCTCAGATGGTCCTGCACCTGTTCCCAGCATCCTGGGGCCACAGGTGTGTCGGCGAGCCCCCTGCGCTGGCTGTCCGCTCCCCACAGCACCTTTCCCCGCCACCTTCTAACGCCTACTCATTCTTCAAGACCCACTTTCGGTGCCTCCCCCTCCGGAAGCCGACTCTGGTCACCCCCCTTCCTGGCCCGGTCAGGGGCTCCACATTTATGGGCCAGACTGCTGGCTTCAAATCCTGGCTTTGCTACTCCTTAGCTGTGTGACCTTGGGCAAGTCCCTTCGCTTCTCCGAGCCCTTGTGTCCTTCTCTGTAACACGGGGATGGCAGTCTCGTTGTCTCGTGGGTGCAGTCCGCAGGATGACGTGTGGAAAGAGCTCACTGAGGGCCTCCACCGTGAGCGCCAGCCCCGCGAGGCGCCACCTGGCGATGGAGGCCTGGGGAGGGGTGTGGAGCCCAGGTGACCGTCCTGGGGAACAGTCTTCCCGGGCTGGGTGGAGGCCGTGCTGCTTCCTCTGGAGCCTCTGACAGTCAACAGCCCCCGGCGAAACCTAACATCCGGGAGGGGAGGGCGGTGCCTGGACAGGCCTGTTTGCTCCCCCAGCAGCATGCAGGGCGGGGGTGCTGCCGACTGCACCCCACCTGCGAAGCCCGGCTGAGTGCTACCTGGGCTCCGTGACCCTGGAGTGTGCCTGCAGGGCTGGGACCACAGCCAGCCTCTGCGTCCCTCTGTCCACCCCTCTGGGCCCTGGGCGGCCACTCAGCTCTCAGCCCCCACCCCACGTGGGCCGCGTTCCAAAGCCAGCGTGGGGCAGGATGAGGCTGGTGAGCAGTGAGCAGGCGTGAGCAGAGCCAGGACGATGGGCAGGCGCAGGGCACCCGCGTGGAGAGCCCCGGCTGCCTGGCAGAGGACAGCTGTAGGGTGGGCCCTCACCCAGGGTGACCTTCCTCCCTGGCATATCGCTGGTTTGGACCCTGACCCTTCCTCCCTAGAGAAACATCGAGGCCTCAGGTGTATTTCAGCTCCAGGCCCAGAAAAGCAGCCGAACCAGACCAGCAACGCCCAGGCTGAGCTCAGGACCAGCTGCACTGGGTCCTGACCCTCCCTGCCCTGGCGCTGACCAACCAGTCCCTGGAGACCCTGACCCCGCGAGGACACGCCTGGACGGCTGATGAACACTCTACAGTGATACCTCGGTTCTCGAACATAATTCGTTCCAGGAGGACGGTCGAGAACCAAATTGTTCGAGAACCGAAGCAATGAAACCCAATAGGAAATAATGGAAACTGGATTAATTCGTTCCAAGCCCCAGAAAATGCCTATTTACTGGCCTAATTTGTATATAATATGTAGAAAAACATAAGTCTCAACAAGAAATAAAAGTGTACAGTATGTCTAAGGGTTAAATTCAGTGTAAAGCGTGACTCTCTCCACAAAGCGTGACTCTCTCTCTGCACTCACACTGGATGACGCGAGCAAGGCGCGCTGGGCCGAATGAACGCCATTCGGCTCAACTCGGCTCATCTCGGAAGTTCGAGTTCCAAATATTTGTTCGGATTCCGAGACAAAAGTTTCTCGAATCTCCTGGTCGAATACCGATTTGGTCGAAATTCGAGGCGTTCGAGAACCGAGGTATCACTCTATTGCCATCTTCCCGGGACCTCCCCTGAAACCTCACCCTTAAAACCTTAGGACCCAGGACCCAGCGGGCTCCCCCTCCCTCCCGGGAGCACACCTGAGCCCCCCCCCCAGGCCATTACCATCACCTTCCTCACTCCCAAGCCCCGAGGGCCCCCCCTGGACCTCTGTAGCTCCTTTCCTGAGCCCATTTCTACAAATCACTCCCAGCTCTGTGTTTCCCAAATCAACGTTCTCCTGCAGTTGGAGCCTTGGCTCGGGGTTCTTTCCCAGCCTGCACTCGGGCACCGAGGTGCTGACCCAGGTGGGGTCTGAGCCCCGGGTGTGGCACCGGGTGCTGCCCCCACCCCCGGCAAGACCGGAGGCCTGACCAGTGTGCCCTCTGGCAGGTGCAGAGGTCACGGTGCAGGTGGAGGCCAGAGCCTGCCTCGTCCTGGTGGGACAAGGATCTTTGCGATCCGCAGGCTGGTGTGAACAGCCCGGCTCCCTGCCCCCCGAGAGCCCTGGGCTGTGGGCCCATTGCGTAGACTGAGAGACTGAGGCTCAGAGGGGTGGCCTCTGGCAGGTGCAGAGGTCACGGTGCAGGTGGAGGCCAGAGCCTGCCTCGTCCTGGTGGGACAAGGATCTTTGCGATCCGCAGGCTGGTGTGAACAGCCCGGCTCCCTGCCCCCCGAGAGCCCTGGGCTGTGGGCCCATTGCGAAGACTGAGAGACTGAGGTTCAGAGGGGTGGCCTGCCCAGCCCAGGGCCTGCCCAAGGCAGCAGACGAGTAACCTGCCCAGCGCCCCTGGGGGCCAAGCCCCACCCCAGGCCCCTGATGTCCAGCTGGGGCCCCAGGCAGCTGGCTCTCCAGGATCCTCCGCCAGCTGACCTCGGAGTGAGGAGACAATAGCCCGGGGTCCGGCTCCCAGCCAGGGCTGTGGTGGCCCCAGGCCGCCCTCCCTTGCCCAGGGGCAGCGCAGAAGCAGAGGCGGACGAGGGAGGACTGTGAGCCCAGGTCCAGCCGGAAGGACTGAGGCCCAGATTGTACTGGCTCAAGGGGGCCCTGTCGTTGGAAGCCTGCCGCGGACGCCCGGCAGCCTGCTTCGTCCAGCGCCGGGCCTGGACACTGGCCGGCTCCCTGTCCCCACCAGGCAGCTGATGCCCTGTCCCATGGATGTGCAGGGCAGGCTGGCTGGGAGCCAGGCCCACTGCGGGCGGCGGGCTGGGCGGCTCATCCTGCCCCCTCCCTGCTGCCCAGAGCTGCCCCTGCAGGCCCTGCCGGCCTGGGAGAGAGGACAGCCCTGAGGTGGCCCTGCACTGCCATCGCCATGTCCCCTCCTGGCCTGAGCATCAGCTCACACTGCCCCACCCTGCACAGCACAGGGAAGAGGCCAGGCGCCGGGGTCACCTGCCGAGGCCCCCGGGGAAGAGGGAGCACCCCGGCCGTCGGGGCCCCATAACTGTCCACCTTCCTCAAGACAGCAGGGTCCCTGGAGCCACATGCTCACGCTCACACCCGGCACACACGTGGGCTCCCGTGTTCACACACAGCCCTCATGCTCGGCACATGCTCGCACACGCATCACACAGGTGCACGCTCACGCGGCCTGGCGCTCACTCAGGTGCCAGCCTGGCTCCTCCGGGCCGGCTCCCTGGATAGAGCAGCCCCACAACTGCCCGGAAAGCTTGGGGAGACCCTGCCTGTCTCCCCCACACACTCCGCAAGGGCCCCAGCCGGCCCCTCTCCAGTTCAGCCGCCCGGAGGGGTGGGGTGGGAAAGGCCCTCCCCGCTCTGCGGCCCTGGAATGCACTGACCATAGTGCCCCATCTAATGCCGACCGGTGCCCACGGGGCTGGCTCAGGGGCGCAGGGCACCGAGGGCAGGCGGCGGGTGAGGGGTGGGGGGCTAGTGCTGGAGGTCACAGGTGGTCAGACTGGTCCCCAGAAGACCAGGGCGAGGGTGGCAAGCCGTCCCCCTCCCCCACCGCACTAGACCCCGTGGGAGGGTTTGGGTCTTGAGAGCCCTGGAGAGCTTGAGGACAAGGTTGGGGGGCTGCCTCGGCTGTCCTTCCTACAGCAACAGGTGGGGGCGCTTCCCCAGGTGACTTGAGAAGTTTGAGAGCCAGAGAGGGCCCTGAGGAAATGGGGGTGTGCTGGGCACCCCTGTCCCTGGTGCAGGCATGAAGCACCTGCTGGGCGGGGGTGCCAGGAGGAGGGGCAGGGTGCCTGTCAGCTGTGGGGGGGGCTGCCCCCGCCCAGCCCCAGCCTATATCCCCAGGCTCCTCTGCCCAGCAGCAGAGGCTGCGGGGATGGCATTGCAGGTGGGTGAGGCTTGGCCGGGGCGGGGAGGGAGCAGGGCAGGGGGTCTCCCCAGTCACCTGGGCTTCTTCCCCAAGAGCTGCCCTCTCCTCAGACCTCGGTCCTGTCATGGAGGGAGCCCTGCTCCCAGGCCAGGCTGGGTGGAGATGGCGCCCTGGGGTGGGCAGGCAGGTAAGGCCCCCACCCACCAGGCCTCCGCCCAACTTCCCTCCCCCCACCTCCCACCGACACCTGCCGTTGGAAGCTCTGTGCAGGGGCCTGGCCCCGGGCTGGAGCCTGCTGGTCCAGGGTTGGGGACACTCCTCCGACTCTGCCGAGGACGGGGGAGCACACCACCTCCCCGGGGCCCTCCTCAGCTTCAGGCGGGGTGACGACCCCAGTGTCTGCTGCCCTCGTGACCCCATGATGCCCCCCAGGTTTGAGATCAACTTCCTGTCGGAGGCAGGGGACACCGCCTTCCACGTGAAGCCCCGATTCTCCGGCGCCACCATAGCGGGCAACGCGTTCCAGGGCGGCCGCTGGGGCCGGAGGAGGTGTCCAGCATCTTCCCCCTGGCGCTGGGGGAGCCCTTTGAGGTGATGGGGGCACGGAGGCCTGGGGGAGCAGGGAGGCCAGGCTGCGGGCGCCCATGGAGGCAGCGGGGCCACCTGCATGGATGCCCTGAAGCAGCTGGGGCTCCCTGCGCCCCTGGGGCCCAGCTGCACTGCTGTCCCCACCTGGGGCCCGCAGGGGACACTCACAGGCCAGAGCAGAAGTCTCAGTGCAGGTGGGTGCAATGGGGGTCCCCCAGCCCCTGGCTGCCAGCCACCCCTGCTGGGGGAGAGGAGGGAGGTGAGCCTGCATGATGTGACAGGGTGGGTGTCCCTGTGGAGAGGGCACCCTGGGGCCCACCTGGCCCTGCTTACGGGCTCAGAGGGCACGGGGTGGGGGGAGGGCTACCAGGCCAGCTGGGCCCTGGGTCACTGGACACCCACCCCCAGGTGGAGGTCACCTCGGACACTCAGCACTTCCACGTCCAGGCCCAGGAGCACAAGGTGCTGCAGTTTGCCCACTGCCTCGGGGCCCTGGCAGCCATCACCCGGGTGCAGGTGCTGAGTGACCACCGCCTAGGCCAAGTGGAGCTGGCCAGGAGGGGCCTGCGCTGGGGGTACGTACGGTCCCTGCCCCGCTCGCCCTGCCCAGCGTCTCTACTGTACACCCTTGTCCTGGGAGCCCAGAAGCCCGGGAGGGGGCGGCGTCCGGGTCCTCCCCCGCCCCTCTGCCAGCGTGCCCACACCCCAGGGCCGGGGGGGCTGGAGCTGGAGCTGAGCCCTGTTCTGATGTCTGCAGGGATGGGGGCTACTGAGCTGTGCAAAGGAGCGTCTCAGGCACGAGCCTCGGGCCATCCAGCGTCCGGGAAGCCCACCCTGCAAAGGCGGGACCGGGGCGTCTGTGGCTCTGGGGCCCCTCGTGGCTCTGCCTCCAATAAAGTCTGAGCAGAGTGCCTGAGCCTGGCTGCTGGGGCGGGGACCATGGGCCAGACGGCTCTGATGACGGGGTGGCCCCTGGCCACCGGCCAGAAGGTCCCAGCGGGTCCTCCCCGGGCCACTGAGCTCACATCCTCAGTCTGCTGGGAGGCCCCTAAGCCTCCTCCGTGGCTGCCTCCTGTGGGTGGAGGGAAGGGCTCCTCCCCGATCCTCCTCTTCCCTCCAGGAAATGACAGTGCTCCTCTCCCTGTCCCCCCGCAGTGGGAGGGGAGGGGGCTACACGGGCACAGCGAGCACAGCTGGGGGTCTCCCCCTGGTTTCAGACCCCAGCTTGTCTGTCCTCAAACTACCATCTATGTATGTATGTATGTATGTATGTATGTATATATCTATCATCCATCCATCCACCCACCCACCCACCTATCCATCCATCCAACCATCCATCCACCCATCCATCCATCCATCCATCCATCCACCCACCCACCCACCTATCCATCCATCCATCCATCCATCCATCCATCCAAACATCCATCCATCCATCCAACATCCATCCATCCATCCATCCATCCATCCATCCATCCATCCATCCATCCACCATCCATCCATCCAAACATCCATCCATCCATCCATCCACCCATCCATTTATTCACCCACCCATCCATGTACCCCCCTATCCGTGAACTGGGCCATCACAGCGCAGGGCAGGCACAGTATCTCACCTTCAGAAGGTGGTAAGGAGACAGTCGTCAGTGGCTCAGACCGGCGGGCCGAGTGGCGAGGCCTGGACTTTGGAGGGGCCTGGGTCTGGTCCCAGCCCCTCTGCCCAGGTGTGGCATGGGCACATCTGGGACTCCGGCTGGCTGGGGCCCTGGCTCACAGGCAGTGGGGGCTCACATGGGGTCCAGGCAAAGCTCGAGTGTAGCTGACGCGTGTCACCATGTCACCAGCGTAGAATTTCAGGCAGCACATGGCTCTGGCCCAAAGAGATTTTACAGAGGGGAAACTGAGGCTGGGTAGAAGTCAGCAGCAAGGTGGGCCAGAGAGGAGAGGCCCATCGAGCCCCAGAGGACCCAGAGGGGCCTTCTGGGCAGCAGAGCAGGACAGGGGGGCCTGGCGCCCCACCCCAGGTGGAACAGCGGTGGCCCAGCCTCCACAGCGAAGCTTCCTTCCTGTCTCCGCTTGTGTCCCCTCCTTGTCCTCGGCCCGCTAGTCCAGGAGCCCCTTCTCCCCTCCCCTGCCCCCTCCTTCCGTAGGTCTGGCCGGTTGTGTCCAGGGGAGGGTGGGGGATGGGCAGGCAGACACAGTGGACCGGCCCAGGCCCTGGGAAGGACTGGGCAGCAGGAAGGGGTGACCTACACGGGGACGCCCTTGTCTGTGATCGGGCCAGGCTGCTCCTGCTCCCCCTCCGTTCTGGGGTGAGGCACCCCCGCTCAGAGTGCTGGGCCCTGCTTTGTGACCTGAGCTGGCTGCTCCCACACCTGGTCCTCAGTTTCCCTACAGACAAAGGCCACGCTGAAGAGCTGCCTCCAGCCTGAACACGGGGCTCGCTTCTTGTGTGGGGGGCTGAGCCGGGGGACAGCCTGGAGCTCAGGGTGGGGTCTGAGCCTGGGGACAGCCTGAGGCTGGGGGGGCTGAGCCCGAGGACAGTCTGAGGCTCAGAGGTGGGGGAGCTGAGCCTGGGGACAGCCTGGGGCTGTGGGGGCTGAGCCTGGGGACAGCCTGGGGCTGGGGGGGCTGAGCCCGAGGACAGTCTGAGGCTCAGAGGTGGGGGCGCTGAGCCTGGGGACAGCCCGGGGCTCGGGGGGGTGGGCGCTGAGCCTGGGACAGCCTGGGGCTCAGGGGGGGCAGCCTGTCCCTGGATCCGCTGGGCTCTATGCAGGCGCCAGGCCTGCTCCACCTCCCAGAGCTTAGCGAGGAGAGCAACATGCATCCCACAGCCGTGAACGGGGCTCAGAGAGGGCAGTGACTTGCCTAGGGTTGCTCGGCCAATGAGGGATGGAGTCCGACAGATGTCCTGTGCACACATGTCCTTGGCAGCTGGTCCTGCTCCCGGTTCCACGCTGCTGTGGGAAAATCAGACCACAGGGGCCCCAGGCCCTGCATCCTTGGGCCTTTGTCTCCCCGCTATGAAATGGGGTGCAGGGAGCTGTGATCTCAGTGTAACCCCTTCTATGACACCCACTGCCCTCAGCTCAGCGTGGGTGCCCGTCTGGCCTGTCAGTAACAGCACCCCTGTCTGGCGCTGCAGCCCCAAGGCCAGAACTGCCGCTGGTTCCTCAGCTCAGATGACACCTCCTCTGGGAAGCCTTCCCTGACCTCCAGTGGGTTCTTACGCCCTCTGTTTCCCCATACCCCACCCCCGTCACACTGCCTCTCTGGGTGGCGGGGACCAGGGCTTCGCCCAGGCCCAGCCCCGGCGGCCCCCCAGCACACCTAGCTCTGGGGATGCTTGTTGAACGAATGACTGGGAAATACACAGATGACTGGCTTAGGGAAAACCACTTGGAGTCTTGAACAAGCTACAGGTGCCCCTCCCAACAGGGGCCATGGGACCATGGAGACCACCACTGCAACTCCCCACTGCCTGGACAGCTGGTCCCCGCACCGAGGCGAGAACGAACCCACCCCTCCCCACGGCCGCATCTCTGGGTCCATCTCCCCTTGCCCACCCACATCCTCTCCAGCACTGGAACACACTGAGCCGTCTCTGCCTCGGGGCCTTTGCACACCCCCAGCGCTCAGCCTGGCCAGTTCACTGTTCAGGCCTCTCTCCTAGATGCTGTGTCCTCACAGATACCTCTTGCATCCCGGGCTGTGTTTATTCTCCATCACGGTTGCCTCTGTTCCCTTTTCCCCAAATAGCAATTACAGTTCCTGGACGTACCTGTTCACAGGTGTGCCGGCTCTCCGCCCTCACTGGACCGCCAGCTCCAGGACGGGGGCCAGCTGCCTGTGTGCTCACACTGGAGTCCCCATCCCTGGCACATCTCAGGCACCAAAAATATCTGTTGAACTAATGAATAAATGGAGTCAGCCCTGCCCGGTGTGGCTCAGTGATTAGAGTGTCGGCCCGTGGGCCAGAGAGTCCCGCGTTCGGTTCCCGCTAAGGGCATGCACCTCGGTTGCGGTTTGTCCCCGGCCCTGGTTGGGGTCGTGTGGGCAGCCGCTCGATGTGTCTCTCTCACATTGATGTTTCTCTCTCTCTCTTCTTCCCACTCTCCCTCCTGCTCTATCTGAGGATAAATGCAAAAATGTCCTCGGGTGAAGATAAAGAATATAAATATTAGTAAGTGGAGTCTGACTCTGCTTGAACCCTGCGAGAAACAGGCAGCCCACTTCCCTGCCGAATGGAAGCACATCCTGGAGCCGACTTCCATCCCCCTGCCTCCCGCCCTCCCCTGTGCCATAGCAGAGCCCCAGAAGCAGCCCAAACAGGCCTCGACGCCCTTCAGAAACCCAAAGACATCCGCGGGTGCTGTGCTCCAGCTAGAGGAGCTCGGGGAGGTCACCAGGGCAGCCTCGCTCCTGGCAAACCTCTCGAAGGCTTTGTCCTCCCCTCAACTGGGGGCCTGTCTGGGGGCAACACCGTGGGCTTGGTAAGGAGGCTGTGGCCCTTGGAGGGTCAAGTCTACAGGCCGCCAACACCACCGACTGGCCAAAGGCACCAGGCCCTCTGGATGGTCGGGGAGAGCTCAAATGCCATGGGGCCACCTGAGCAAATGAGGCAGGCAGGTGCAGGGCAAGAGGGACGGGTGGGGTCTGTGGCTAACAGGGAGGCACATACCCTATTGCACTCGGTTATGCACCGGGAAAGGGTGGGCAGATCTTTTCATTTTTAAAAATGTAAAGTTAAATTGCTGTGTTTAAATACTGGCCATTACAGTGAGGCCTGAACAAAGTATCAACCTTTAAGCAAGCTGCCCCAGGGGCGACTAATTGGAGACTTCTCTAACACCAACTTTTGATCCAGCCGGTGTGGCTCAGCGGTGGCACGTCAACCCCTGCACCAAAAGGTCGCCGGTTCGATTCCCAGTCAGGGCACATGCCCAGGTTGTAGGCCAAATCCCCAGTGGGGGGCGTGCAGGAGGCAGCCAGTCGATGTTCTCTCTCATCGATGTTTCTATCTCTCTCTCTCTCTCCCTTCCTCTCTCTCTAAAATCAATTAAAAATATTTTTAAATAAATAAATAAAGCCAACATTTGCCCTGTTTTGTCCCACCAGGACAGAGGCTATGGGTCACCCCAGGTTGGGAGGTGCCTTCCTGGTCCCGTATTCCAAGCCCCTCCTTCCTAAAGCCTCTCGGGCCCATGAGGACCAGGCTGACCAGCAGAGGGCGCTCCAGACAGGGGTTTTTCTTCATGTTAACTCCAGGTGGGCCAGACCCACTTCCGCACGAGGACAGGGTGGGGTTTCGTTCCCACCGAATGGTCGCCTTGGGAGATGGGGGCAGGAGCCTAGGCAGAGGGGCTCCAATGCCCTTCCTGCGGACCAGCCGGGCCCGGCGGATGGAGGGAATGCGTAAACGCCAGGTGGACTTCAGCACAGTGCCCTTGGAGCCTGTTTCCATGCGACGCGGGGGCTGTGTGGAGCGCGGAGCGCCAGGCAAGCGCAGTGGGCACGGTCCACGGGCGCTCCAGCCCTTCCCACCAAGGCAGCGGGGGTCAGCCCAGACAGGACGTGACCTGCCAGGCCCTGTGGGCGTCTCCAGCCTGGCTGGCCCCCCACCTCTCCCCGGCCAGGCTCTCAGTCCTCCTGCCTCAGGATGGGACCAGCCACCAGGGCCCCTTTTATGGCCACCAGGAGGGCAGGGCTGCCGGGGGGAGGCCAACGCTGAGCCCTGGGTGCGTCTCGGCAGGACCCAGGGGGGCTACAGTGACAC